GCTTAAACGAAAGAAATATCGAGTTTCTAACGAGATAGAAAAAAGAGGTTTCGTATTTCCGTAGAAAGATGTAAAAAATTAGAGACAAGGGACACAGTCAAAGTCTCCTGCACTATACAGTTATACTAAAACAGATATTTTTAACAATAATATTATATTAAGATAAAAGTATAACAATGAAGAGAAATCACAGAGGTAATAAAACAAGCAGGTCAACAAAATGAAGAAAAAAAGTTGAAATAACTGCTGTGCAAAAAATACATTGTTAAAAAAAAGTGTCAAAATAACGTTATGCAATCTGACTACATGCTTATGTCTTTAAGGTTGACATTGACTAAAGATGATAATCCACATTACAAGCTGCTCTTATAGCAGCTTGAACTTTGCACCAGAGGAATTCAACGAATTACCGTAATATTAAAATATTGCAAAAGCTATTTTGTTGAAGATGGAAGAAGAGAAAAATAAAAACAGCCAACAAGCTAAAAAGTTCTTATTAAATTTCAAAGCAATTTTTTCCACTCTGATGTTCAGCAACTCAAAATATCCAGCACTCTTAATGATTCTCAATTCAATTATATTCTGTAATCAGCCACTACTCAGGCCCTTTTCCGGGTTTAGGACGAAAGTAAAAGCCATTGGTTCATTGGATAATTTAATTGGCCACGATACGCGTGACTGTACTCAATCAGCTTAGCGTTGATCAGTTGCTGAGGGCGATCTCGGTGCATATGAGGGGTCATAGCGAGAGAATGTGGCACCCAATGGACACGACACACACCCCTAAACCTCTCGGACAACGCACTCGGAAATTGTTCAACCAAGAAGGGTTTGTGGCTGATCCACAGCATCGCGGTAACCCGCTCGCGTTTCTATTGCTGGGCTTCAACCCTTCCTAGATAATTGAAAATTAACCAACCATCCGTTCATCCATCTGGGAGCCACCCTCTAATCACAGCCTCTCCTCCTACTCCATACACGTTGCCCTCGTTAACTCAATCCTCAACAACTGGACACTAATAAGTAATCGACCACGTATCTGGCTCGCTTGTAAACCACGTGCGAATATGTGGGCTTTAACATTAATGACATCCATGTGCTATCCCATTTCATCAAGGAAATTATTTATTTTAACAAGTTTTGAAGGTTCGTAAATGTCTCTATGCTAGGACATAAAGACTGATAAATAGATGAAACATTGCCAATCATTCATTTTATTTAATGTATGTTAATGTTTAAATATCAAATCGATAGAATTAATAAAATATCTATCATTGGTATATTTAATTTTTTTTTCTAAAAGAGTATCATAGAGTTCAATCGTTTAATTAAAAGATTCTCATCCTCTCGATACTTTATTCCCATTTGAGTCTTGTGATAGCTAATCTGCGAGGATTTTCCGACCAAAATTACGAAATTCAAATACTCCAATTTCAATTACTTTCCGCCAACTCTAAGCTTATTACATTCCATCATTTTATTGATAAAAAAATGATTGAAGTTGAAGATTCTATATAATCCTTTAATTGACAACATAAGCTTGAAAAAAAGGATTTTCAGAATAGTAAAAAAATTCTAGTTCATATCCAACTTTTAATTAATGTAAACATTAATATACATGATATAAAATATTATATGGTGTAAATAAAAATTTAAATATTGAATACATGATAGATTACATGCCTAGTTGAGATTATTTTCAGTGTATATATTATTCAAGAGAATCTATTAGAATTTCATTTTCTCAATTTATCGTCTAGAAATAATTTTAAATATTTATATCCTTTTTTAACTTTACAAATAAATTTTTTATAATCTCTATGAGCAATTATTTACTCAATTGTAACATGATCAAATAATGTCTTTAATACGATATTAATTGGATTAATTCGAATTTCTAGTAAAACTGGAAGCTTAATTTTTTGGGCTATCTAATCTTTCTTCGTTTCAAATACTCTACCAAATAATTCCAGAGCTTTCTTTAGTTAAATCTCGATTTTGATAAACTGGTGGGTTTTTTTTTATATCTAGATATATCTCCAATACTTCACAACTGATGGTTCTCAAGTGCTCTACTCTCGAGAAGTCACCGAAATTCAACAGAACCCAAGTTGGAGAATCTTGTGTCTACGACCGAATAACCCCAACATTTTCGTGATCCCACGAGATTTTGTGACCCAGCGATCTGGCCTAGATTACGATCCCTCATCTTGCATTATTGCTTAAGCCATATACCTTTATACACATGGAATATATCTATTCATACTCATACAAAGATTTGATATACAGATAACCATTTTTGTCATCGTTTCTTATATTTCTTTGACGAAAAGATTGTCGTGATATTTTTCGTAAAGTAAACGTCATTTTCCTTTTTTCCTCGTTTTCCTTTTATATGGCAAACGAATACATACGTATTTCGTGACCATAAAATATCTTCGAAAGCTTTGCATCCTTTTGCGTGTATCCATCATATAAAAGCCGGTTAGCGAATAAACGAATCATACACAAACGTATAGTAAATGATTGACACGTTGACATGGATAAACGACGTGGAATAGGCGCAGCCCAACTACAACAAAAAATGAAATAAAAAGTTTAAAAAATCATTCACGCAGCGATTTATGCGCATTGTACTGTGCAGACCTACGTCTATCGATATATCAAGGTGGAGAAGAATAAATGTGTATATAGAAAAAGGTATATGAAGCTTGCAGAGAAAAGGTAGCCAAGAGAAAATAGAAACTACTTTGAGTGGTTACGGTGGCGTTGCGCGTCTCTCCAACTCTAAACAGTCTATTTACTGTACACTCCTTTCCTCTCTTCGCCATTCAATGTTTTAGCGTGTTATTTACCGTCGAAGCGGGATTTATCTGGCTTCTGGTGGCGTCACATCGGCCGCACCCCGTTCTCGCTTTCTCGTCGACCCGCCCCATTCTGCTGCAGAGTACTCGAACCTCCATCCGCGTCGATCCAATATTTTTCCTACATCCTCTATTGCCTTCTCTCTACCATCATCCTCAAATTCATCCAACTACCTTGGGATCACCTTGTTTCCACATCGTTCCTGGAATAATAACGTCACATCGATAAGTACAAAAATAAAATTCTTCAAGTAGATGCGATTCACCTTATGGTCAGACATATTAGAACTTATCTACAACTTTTATATGTATTTATGGAAGTATGTGCGCGTGTAAAGTAATAAAATTATTAGAAAAAAATTATTTCTTTCTTTTCTATAATCCTGGTAAAATAAAAAAAATTTTTTACCTCCAAAATTCACTCTAGTGAGATTTTATAAATTGAAATGTGCATTATAAAACTCTTAGTTTTTATCACCAAATCGGATTTTTATTTCTAACAAAATTTTCTCGTGTTTTTTAGTTTTAACATCATTGTTAAATTTTTTACTTTTAAGCATATCTACCAAATCCTAAAAAAATAAATCGTATTAAATGTAGAGAAATTTTTTTGATAACTATTTCGATGAATCAAAAAAAAGTATCATATTTTTTATGAATCTTAGACATGTTACTGCGGTGATGCAAGCTGGTTAAGTAAAAACAAACATCTTTAGATACATTTTAAAATTCTTATCATTTATCCTACTATACGATTGTTTCAAGGGAAAATTGAATGTACACATGGTCAAAAGATACGCAGTGGGACGAGGAATCGCTTTCTCGCATTTGTCTGACAGCGAAAAGCTAAATCCCCTGGAGGTATTTCTCTACAATAGCAACATAACAAAGTTGCTATCTCGGAGGGGTTAAAGTTCCTAGGAGTAGAGGTATAGTATGAAACTCAGGCGCATCGTCAACGAGGATGTGTCCCTCTGAGGTCGAATGCCAATCCTCGTGTCTCAAGAGGTTCTCCGGCATATCGTCCCCCGTAGTACTTTCCTGTCTATGTTATACGATAACCGCAAGTACTTTAGCTACGGACACGAATTATCTCAAACGCATTTCTGAGCCTGTTTAAAAAGTTATTTTTCTATAAAAACACTGAAAAATCGTAATACCAGAGACAGCAGAGTGCTTGAACTCTCAATAGTTGTGAATTCATTCTCGTGAGCTTGGACCCCAACATCTTAATCCGCATTTTCAAACATCCCTGGAGGGTAAGTGAAGCCTTCAAGAAGTGGTTTCCACTTTTTCTCCTTTTTTCTCATTTTATTTTTCACTTATTCTTGTATTCGTGCTAGAGACAACACTTTCTCGATTATTGTCATCAGCATTTTCATCTGCAAATGGAAAATAGAAGAGTGAAATAGAATATATAATTGTCACATTACAGATAACACGTTGTTTTTATGTGATTACAAAGAACTAGTCAACATAATACAAGTATTATTTAAAAAAAAAAATTATTCAACAAGTTTTTACAAGACTTATTATCTTTTTTTCTTTATCCTCCAGTTTTCTTCTATTTCCGCTAACTTTCTCCGGCTCGTCAACGTCACTAAAAATGCAATATTCTAGAAAAATGAGATACTATTTCTTCTTGGCAGCTATTTTTAAATTAATTCCAAAACAGTTTTTCTTGCACTTATAAAATAATCATTAGTAAAAATTTAATTAAATTTTGCAACTGTTTAATAGAGTATTCATTTTATTCAATTTACTTATTTCCATTTTCATTAAAGCTATCGATAATCTTGCATCAAAAACTTATTAGTTTAGAGAAAATTGAATTTTAATCATGTTTTAATTATTTCAAAGAGTAAGTTGTGCTCTTGAGAATGTAATTCTATCAACGTTTGATAATTAGAGTTTCAAAAACTTGTTTTTATGCCTATCATTTGTTAAAAGCATTAATTAACAAAAAAAATTTTTCACGAATAACCAATTGCATTTTATGGCTTTCATAGAATAATCAAGTGCTAAAGTATTTCAAATCTATAAAATATCACAAGCACAAAAGTGGAAAAATATTTCAAGTTTTAATTGATGTCATTAAGTTCTTATTTTTATTAGATATTCAGAGACTGTCACAGCATGTATGAATATGAAGATGAAACATTTGAAAGAGAAGGTTAGGATTCATTTATTAATAATTTCAAAACTTTGTTAATCCAATTACTATATCTCACATGCACTTTGAATAATGAAGACGAAACACAGACGAATGCTGATGGTTCTAATGACGATGGAGTGGAGAATTTTGATGATGAATTAAAATTGAGTGTAATTCAATATGATGGTGATCATTGGAAAATTAGATCTACGGTATACAAATGAAATTCATAATACTATTCTCTATTGTAATCACAGTTAACAAATAAATCATTAATTATTTAATCAACTAATGATACTCAATATATAATAAATTAATTGTTACTAATAATTATTAGAAATAATTCATTTCCATGCAATATTTCCAGAAAATCCCTGGAATGGTTGAAATCAAATTATCACCTCTAACACAAAAAATTCTAGGATGTGAAGTTGGAGAAGATGTTACCACTGAATATCCATGGGTGTTTGTTAGAAAAGAAATAATAGAAGATAATCTTGACTTACACAGAAAAAGTAGTGATTTTGTTCCAGTTCGAAATCAAATCCTAGAATATCCTGAGAAACAGGTTCTCATTGGTTATGCTTCGCGTATGACTGATGATTATGGACATTTCTACGTTTGCCTGACAAACAGCAGCGCCAATGTCATCATGAATCAAATTGAAGCTCAGAGATCTGAAAATGAAAAAAGTATAAAAAATGCTGTATTCAAAAAGCCTGGTGCATGGCAATCATATGGTAGCGAAATTGAAGTCGATGAATCTATTGTTAAAAATAGAAGAGAACGGTACGTGATCGAGGTAAGATTATTCTCAGCAGATAAGTGGAAAGAAATAAAAAAAGGATAATATAATTTAATTAAAGCTAAAAATTCATTAAAAATAAAATAGGCTGTTAATAAAGTATTATTTGCAATGGACTCATTTATAAATAATTCTTTAATATTTAATTGAATTCTTTTAATAAAAAATTATTTTAATAAACGAAAATAAATTTTTCTTACCACAAACAATATTTGATACTTGGTTGAGAAAATATTTCAACAGATAGAAACACATAAAAAGTACTCTCACTCACCAAAAGTCTTGGTAAACCGCAACGTTGAAGACCAAAGAGATGGTTACGTGGAACTTGTACCGTCAAGGCAAAGCTTTAACAACGTGTCTAAAAGAGTAGTTTCTCGAGGTGACCAGGCCAATCCTGCAACTAGTGATAACGAAGCCCAGACGACAATTTCGGCTCCTATAAACTCGTGGTCTCAGTACTTGTATGACCATAAACCGATCAATACTTACAATGAAGACGAGGCGAATGCTATCCAGAAATTTCTTAATAATAATATTGACATGATATGCGAGGAAGTAAACTTCAAGCTTTAATTCTACTTTCTTACTTTAAGTGCATTTTCATACTTATTACTTCTGATTACTGTTCAGCTTCTTCTGAACGAAATCTGTGATCCTCACACAGATGATTGTGAGAAGTTAGTGAAGCATGAAAGAGATACTAAAGCTCCAGTACCAATCACCTTTACAGAATACCAACATTATCACGATGGTCAATTAACTAAAGAAAAAGTTATTAATGATCTTTGCTGGCATCCTCTTTTAAGTGGAATAGCTATTGCCACCTATACAACTCACTGTAAAAGTGCATTTTTTCGAGGACGACAAACTCAAGAAAAAGTATGTCAACACTTTAATAAAAAATAAATTTTAAAAATCAACAACACTTTATTTGTAGATACCACAAAGCTTTTCCAGAGATAACAAAGTACTTGTGTGGTCCTTCAACGACTGTCTACAGCCTAAATTGATTCTAGAATGCCCTCGAGAAGTGACCGCAATTTCTATTAGACCTCTCGATGGAAATGTTGTAGTTGGGGGTTGTTCTAATGGTCAGGTACCTGTAATTTTTTTTATTACTTTAGAACGTTATACTTGACTCTTTCACTACTGGATATAAATCATATTAGCACTTTAGAGTTATATAATACTTTTAAAACATTGAATAGTATTTTTATTTTGTTTAAAAATTGAAGTTGAATTTTTTTTCAAGATAGCAGTGTGGTCTATTTTGGGAAAAATTGAAGAAGTTGAAAAAACGAGTTCTGGGTCTCAGTTAAAATACAGACAAGTTATGAAAAATTTAATGAGCTGGATGAAAGACACAACTAGTTCAAATGTGATTTATCCAGCTGCAATGTCTTCAATCAAAAATGGCCAGAAGGGTGCTATTACCCAGATAATCTGGTTGGCAACTCACAGTAAGCTCAACGAGAATGGAAAGATGGTTGAGTTGGAAGAAAACTCTGATGTTGAAGAACTTGGTTGGCAGTTTGTGACATCTAGTGAGGACGGCAGTGTCGCCTTCTGGGACCTGAGGTCGGCAACTCTATTTTCTCCTATCCCCAATTGATTCCCTCGAATCCCCAGACTCTTTTCCTTTCGCTTTTCTTATCTATCTCACATCTATTTCTTCTTTAACTTTTGACTTTTTTTATTTTCCGCTTTAACTTCGTGGTCCCATAAAACTTTATTCTCAACTCTCCGTTAGATCACTCGCATTACCTTCCTATTCATCTCTAAAGTACAATTCACGAGTGTAATTGAGGTATGATTTTAAAAGAAATATATATCATCTCCGTTGTTAGAGTACGCGAGGAAATGGAACGATCCAACGTGCCAAAGCAAAGAGGAAAAAAGAAAAAAAATATACCCAAACCTAAAGCTCTTACTCAATTGATCTCACCGTTCAAGATTCTTGACGGTGTATTCAGCCCCACATACATGCTCTCTGTGAAGCATTTCAACCAAGAACGTCGAGTTGTCATCACAACAATGAGCTTTTATGTGCCAAAAATACGAAGGGTAGAAGTTGAGCCACTTCCTATTGATTCCGCTGACATAGGAATGAGAAGACACTACAAGTCAGTGGTAGAGAAACCGGCGAACATTACATGGGGAATGATTTTCTTGGGCACTCTTGAGGGTGATGTAGGAAGGGTGGCTTGGAATGGCTTTGAGTTTAGCAATGACTTGAGAATGAATCGAGAATCTGTGAAATGGATTTGGAAGAATGAGGGCATCCATGATGGACCTGTCACCCACTCAGTAAGATCTAATTACCTAGACGATATCATATTAACCATTGGAGGAAAAACATTTGCCATTTGGCGAGAAGACTTTGATGAACCTGTTTTTCTAAGACGATGTACAGTAAGGTAAGTAATGTACTTTCTCGCCTCAATAATATAAATCATGTTACTTATCTTCAAAAATGACTTTCTGACTTAAGTAGTTACCAAGTACACTTATTTATTTCAAGAGAGACTGTACATTTAGAAAACATCTATTAATGCCTCTTTGAAAGCATAACTACTTTTAACATTATATAGTAAGAAATGGGAATAAAAAATAGTAGAACGTAATAATTTAAAAAATAACTAAATATAATTTATTAATGATTTCCTAACGACATTTCAGTCGTCAGTCATATGAAACACAACTGAATAGTTGAGAGTTAATTTTATAGCTAAATGTTTACAGAAGTACGGAAAACCTCATTCTGCCTTTAAACTAGATATACAGCTTGTTCCTGGAGTAATTCACGTCCAACAGTTCTAATGTTAGCACGTGTAGACGGTACAGTTGAGATCTGGGACCTTATTGTCAAGAGTAACGAAGCTTGCTTCACACAAAGTGTTTCGGGTCGGATCATCACTGGAATTTATAGTCATGACCTTTATCTAAAACCTGAATGCGTTGCTTTTTGTGACTCAAACGGTACGATGCGGGTCTTTACAGCCCCACTGGACTTCTCCGTCTTTGAGGAAAGTAATGTTGAGTGGATGAAAGCATTCGTGGAGCGAGAGGTTAACAGAGTAAGTTAACCATTTAGTATCAGAGAATGTAAATACTGGATATACATGTGGTGGAGTATACCAAATGTTGGAATATTAGATAGAACAGTTAAAACGTGTGCAAATACACTGGACAGAGGATAAGGCCAAAAATGTAAGAAGAAAAGAAGGGTCACGGACAGAAATGAAGATCAAGAAAATAGAACCTGGAGAAAAAGTGAAACTAGCAACAGAAACATCACGAAAAATAAAAACTTTGCAACCAGTAAGAAATATTTTGGTATAAATAAAGGAAATTAGGCGAAAAAATTCATTAAATAGTATTGTAAATTATTGATATAAGTAGATTTGCTGATATTTTATAGATGATATCAATCGTAAAGTATTACGTAGTAATGAAATATTTAGAAATGCTTCATATAATATTAAATAGGACTTTTCGATAAAGTAAATGCATAGAATTTACGGTTTGAAAATAAATCGATGAATCTTTATACATTAACGTACATCAATATTGCAGAAACCTAAATCAGGACAATTTATTGAGGAAGCAAAAAGCAGATGGAAAGCAATGGAATTGGAGCGAATGCAAAGGGTCATTTTGGAAAAGAAAGGACTTCGTGCGGAAGATCTAGAAAGGCGACGGGAGCCTGTACTAAAGCTACGACAGGAAGTACGAAAAAAGAAGGAAAAAATTCGTGATGTGATGCAGCAGCAAGACCGGATATTCGAGGACACAGTAGCCTTCCTGTTTCCGGAACGGAACTACGAACGTGAGCATGCCGGCGTGACCACTGAGATAGTACAGAAAGAGAAATCTGATGGCGAGTACGTTAAGGACATGGAGAAAGTTAGGATAGAAGCTCTTATTCATCCCTTCAAAACTGCTTCAAGTTCTGGTAGTTTGATGGTAAAGCACTTTCAGTACTTGACCAACTGTGCATTGTTCACGTCATTCTCTTTTTTCCTTTATTGTTTAGTCAACGTCAGGCAATTTGGAAGAAGAGATTATACACAACTTTGAACGAGTTGCTGCCGAGGCTTCACTCTTTATACAACAACATCCGTACAAGGATTCTTTCAATTGGAAAGATGTATTTCGTGATGGATTAAGAAGACGACATATCTTAGATGTCAAATTACGCTCAATTAAAAGAAAAGAACAATCTAACATTGTTGAGATTTCAAAACAATCTTCTCTTAAAGAATTGGATGAAGAAAAATACAATAATGATTATTGGAAGACACTACAAGAAGGTAAACTTGATTTATCTTCAAAAGTGATAATTTACTGAGACATTTATTTTTATAATAGAGAACCTTGAGGATCAGCAAACAAAAAAATATACCAATTTTTCTTCTGAAAAATGACAAAATATATTCTACAAAAAAAGTTAATAATCACGAACTATTTGTGAGATAAATGAAATTCGATTCTCAAGATATTAATGAAGCTAGAATATCAAAAACATTGTCAATAATCCTTTGTATTCATAATAAATGAACATTTTCATTGTTCTTTTATTATACTCCAACTAAACAGTTATAATAATAATATTATTATAATAATATATTTTATCTATTAAAAAAAAATTCATGATTTCTAGTGATAAAAGTTTCTTTTGATTTTATCATTTTTACTTAATCAAAAAAAATGTATGTATATTTTTTTTAATGTAAACAACATAAATGTTTTATCTTTAAATTTTGATTTTTCATTCATTTTCATTTTTCTATATTCATACATGCCATTCAATATTATTGACTTTCCGCGATCATAAATCAAAATACAATGCTTTGATAGCACACGCGAAAAGCCTTTCACACAATTATGCTATGATTACTATGTTTAAATTAATGATAGCGTACGAAACAATAGAACTGACGCTGAGTTTCCACTAAAATTCAATATTCATTATGTCATCTATGGCTCTATCATTACGTGGGAGTATAATGAAGAAACTCGTTAATTTCCTGACCTGACATAGTGTTTTTGTTACTAATTCTCAAAAAAGGAACTTTATTGATATTTTGAATTTTTGCTTTAATAAGAAAACTAACAAACTTAGGAAATGATGAATTTTTTTAGACATAAATAACATTAATCTACTTGATCAGAAGTATCTTCATCAAAAAATTTTAGATTATAATTAAAAAAAATAAAATTCAATCATCATAGTATTCTTTATGCAATGAATATTTGATTTAGAGAAATTGTGTGAATTTATTGTATTTTCACACCAATATCTACTAAAAGAAATATTTATAAAACTGTTTATTTACAGAAATAATAATTTAATAGCATATTATCCTGTGCAGTAAATTTACTTCTCTTTAAAAAGTATTTTTTATAATACTCTACTCATTAAGGGAGCTATAATGCCATAATTTTTTCCTACAATAGATAAGAACAAGTAATCATCTGCTGTAAAGTATTAATTATTTGAAAATAAGAAGATATCGAGTAAAAGCTTTAGAGAAAAGTGATAATAAAATAGGATGAAGGCGTTCATTAATATAGCTCTTTGTAAGAAAAGAGCAAGTGAAAAGATGAGAAAAATCTAACGGATGAAAAGAAATAAGTTAATAAATCAATCGAGAAATTACAAGAGAATATGAGAGAGAAACATTTAAACGTACAGTATTGCGATATGAGTTTTGCCAACTATTTGCGCAAACTCGCACCATCAGTGCGGACTGTCGAGTATTATTGCCCAAGTTCGAAACATCTTTCCACACAATTTTCCTTCTGTTGCCGCATTCTTACGTATCTTCTGATCATACTGAAACTTCTCATTTCACCATCTGACCAAGATCAGCACAATTGTCTACCTTCACTTATTGGTCCAAGCTTATCGCGCTTTCGAAACAAAAACTCTACAATTGTCAACTGTTGCCTCGATATCTGTTTGTAAGAAAAACTTACCCTGTACACATGTTCAATTTTTGTGTTGCGACGAAAATTCCCAAAATAGATTTCAATTATTTATTTTATGGCTTTTTTGTTTCTCTGAAATAGAAGAAAAAAATTAGATTAAATTCTATAACAAAAAAAATAAACAATAGACTTTCAAAAACTAATAATTAAAGCATATTTTAAAAAGTATGATAAAAAAAATATGATAATAAAATACTGATGAACTGAATTTTCAATTAATAAATTGCAATAAAAAGAAGAATTTTTTTTCAACTTCGGTCTGTTAAGGTTGCCTTTGTTGATATCTGATTCAATACTTCTGAAGTTCACCATCACTTCTTTAAAAGCTTTATCGATCCATTACTCCCTAGCGAACTTTCTTTCATAAATTTCATTCATAGTTAAAGAAATTTTTTTTCAGAATCAAGAGTGCAAATATGCTTAACTAGCTAAGATAGAATTATAATTTCTGGCAATCTTAAATATTCCAGTAATACTAATTTAAATATTACTTTAATCAAAAAAATGTTTCATAAGATATTAAACATTTTAATGAAATTTTAATTAATAAATAATTTATTACTTAATATTCTGAGGAGGGGTTGAATAATAGAATTGTTAAGAAACATTATTTATTTGAAAAAGAGAAGAAAACACTCTATTATATCAATTATGTAACCAGCATGAAGCCTTTACATAAATAATACCACGAATTTGCATGAACTTTTGCAGTATTTCTTGTTTACGTGTTTCAGATAAAAAAAAACTCACAAGCCAAAAGCATTATTTCTTATAATCCGTTAGAATAATTCTTATAGTAAAATATGTGTCCATTAATTATAAAAATGTTTCACATAAAAAAGAATAAAGCTTCAAATGTAACCCAGTCATACTTTACTCTATTTGAATATTAAAAAAAATTACAATAAAATAATCCATCAGAGATGTACAATATAGACACAAACCCACATTTTTATAATAAAATAGAGCAAGTATAAATTGAGTGAAAATCAAATACAATATTGATAAAAAAGCTTAAATTTATTCAAGCAAACAAGCAGTATTATCAAAGAGCTCATTTAAAAACAACACTTAAAAACAGTATTAATCGACCTTGTTATTTTTACTTTTTCCTAGTGTTTCACTACTTAATATACGTCATGTCAAAATGTACCACGACAATTATTGTATCACGAATAAACGTGCCAGAGAAATAAGACAAAGAGAGGAAAGAACAAAGCATACTAAAAATATATAAAAGCTTCTTATCTCTCTTTCTCTGTTATGAGTCAGATGTCAGGATGTACGTGACCGAGTGTTGAAGCAAGTTGGGTGAGATTTTCGGTAGAAAGAGAAGAGTGGAGTTGTCGAGAAGCCACGAAGTTTGTCACGAGGTGGTGGAGAAGTACATACAGGACGTATCGGTGGAGAACGAAGCTGTAGGAGATGTGAAGTCAACGAAGGTCGATAGGGAGTGGCAGAAGGTTGGACGGTAATAATCGTTAGAGGCAGGCGGTGACCAGCTCGTGAAATCTCGCTCGTATCGTTGGGATAACGAGTCATGAGGCAAGACCTCCAGCGTCCTACAGAGCAAACTCTGTAGAAACTTCTCGCCTGGATTTCAAACCCTGCTTGGACTTTCCTTTTTCTTCTTGTCTAGGTGTTTCGTAGAGCCACAGCTGTCGATACGAGACTTGGGAGATTCCACAGGAAATCTAAACACCATCGGCTTGTCGAATAAATGTTGTTTCGACCCAACTACTAGCCAATCGTGGCTACACCTTCTGTTTTTATATAATCTCATTTGCCACCAAGTATTTTCGAATTTCAATAAATTTTAATGCATGTCTTTCACTAAAATAAAATTGACGTGAATGCAATTGCGGTAAAAAGTTAAGTATTGACAGCTCTCAATTAATATTTAAGGTGTTTACTATTTAATTGACATTTGTAGAATATCTTATTCTCTCATGTTGATAAATTTATTGTTAAATGTCTACAGTTTAAAGTAAGAAGCCAATAATAAAAGCCAATAATAGATACATTTATTATCTACAGATGTTTGAATGAATGAAATTGAGATGTTTAATTAATTTTGGAGCTTGATCACTTTAATTGACTAACGAATAGAATATATATACACCGCATACTTGATCCTATTGATCGATATCCTTTAATTGTACATTTTACTTTATTCCATAAGCTTAAATATTATTTTTCGTCTACTTCCATCAATCGTCATCTCGTTCTACATCAAAGAAAATTTTAATTAATAACTTGATGCAATTCTTAAATAATTTTCAGCTTTCTAAAGAAAGAATTAAACTATAATAAGCTAGTATGTTTAGATTTACATAATTTAAAAAAGAGTTACGTAAAACAGAAAAAAATCAGATTTTCATTTAAAATAATAATTAATATTTATTCTGAATTATTTTAAATAGATGATATTGAATCTTTTATTCAAGAAGTTAATATTTTAATTCTTTTGAATTTTATATTAATTAAATATAAAAACACGAGTACTTCTGATATTTGATGATATTTAAAATATTTTAAGATCAAAATTTTGATGTGCTTTTTGAGGTAAGTAATTTTTTAGAGCCGTATAAAACTACTACTCCGGTGGACAATGGCAAGGATGAAAGTAAAGATTAAAAAATGGTGTATAAAGAATAATAATAAAAACGAAAGATAGCAATGAAAATAAAATACGAAGATACGAGTAGAGTTGTAGCAAAAGGAAGAAGAAAAGAGACTCTGAAGCAACTTCGTCTCGTCGCTCTCGGGTCTCATTAACATTTTACATTACGAAGAGCAATTTACCAGAGCATCCGTGGCACAGTAAATTAATGAAGAGAGATGAGAAAGACTGAAGTAACGTTAACACCTTTTCATTAATTTATTTATATAACCATAAAAGTATTCGAAATAATATATTGTATGCAATTGTAAGCATCGAAAGAAATGATAAGAAATACAACTGTATTAAAACAGACTCGTGTAAATTTTACCACTAAACATTTGTGTATTTTATACCTCTGACTCCACTTAACTAACAATCCTGTCGCGTTTCCACATTTACCCTTGCCAAGTGGACTATTGTGTACCTTCGCTAATGGCGCCTCAGCGTACTTAATGTGTTCAAGGTTTTTCTTAAGAAGAGAGTAAGGAAAAATATCAGAAAAATAGAGCAAAATCAAATTAAGTGAACAATTGTAACTGGGATTGAAATAATTATTTAGACTATAATATTATATTTATGATGTTTTTCACATCAATTGAAATTTTAAAATAAAGAAAAAAACTCCTGTTAGAAGAATCAACTAGGCTCATAAAATAAATAAATTTTCTTATAGCATTTAGTGCTTTTAGACT